TCCCATCAGCTCTTTTGCTAGCTGTGTGTTCTAATGCTGGAGCACATACACTGAGGGGGAAGCAGAGGGAGGAGTCAATAGCTTAACTGCTAAAAACTGCAGTAATCTCTGCTGCTCCTCCACAGACAGAGACACATAGGCCTGTGTGGTTTTTATTTCAATTCACAACAGTAAATTTCAGCAGAATGACTCCCCTGGATTAACAAACATTTGGGTCCCTTGGGCTGCCTCTTGTATCCACAGTCCTTCCCACCCAGCTGTTACACTGCAGGAAATGCCTTGCACTCAGACATGGCTGCACGTGAATGTAATAAAAGCACACACACAGCTAACTGCTGAAAAGCAGCAAAAAAATGGTGGGTTTGGCTTTTTTCTCTTTTTCAAAGTATCATGATTTCCTGGTTGATGTAATTGAATAAAGTTCTAGCATAGAGAAATTTAACCCAGATTCTGCTGGTGTGGTGAGAAGCACTGAGACAAAGGATTTTTATAGATTTTTACAGGAAGAAGTCCTGCACATTGAACTTGGAACCCAGCTGAAGGGTGACAAAGAATTTGCTGCTATCTGGACTTTGCCAGCCACCCTTCTCTGTGGCAGAGGCACATGTTGGCAGCAGGAACAAAAGTGGAGGCTACAGGAGTATGACAAGGCATAGCTACATGGCAGCATTTAGAGGGGGGGGATTCCATTCTTCTGCAGATCACCTTCACACTCTGTGTATCCTCTTAACTGGCCTTTACCCCTTGGACACAATTCTACCTTATCACTTCCCTTTTAGCTGCTTTCTCACCCAGTTGTTCTTCTACATACTCTTCTTTTTTCTCCTGGACAGGCAGCACAAATTACCTCATCCCTTTAGCTTATTTTATAGTCTACATGTGTACAATAAGCAAATAAGGAACTACTACAGCAATCCAGATTAAGTGGAAAGGAGTCTGGCAGGCTCCTCCTCGCTGGCTACAGAAAAACATATTCCAGGAAAGATTCTGAAGCATTTTCCCAGGCTATTTCTCCAACTAGTATTTTTGTTAAGAGAAACATGCAAGCTATTGATGGACCTCCAAAGAAATGCTCTATTTTTAAACTGAAAACTTAGACAGATCTCCATGTGTCCTAAGAAAATTAAAACAGAGCTCTGCAGTTTCACTTTCCTCATTATTCTTTCACAAATTCTACTGCAGAGTCAGCAGACCTCCAACATCTTCCTCAGTAGCACGGACAACTGACACTAGGTGTTCAGCCTCCTCAGGTTTTATCCAAAGAAGCACTATTTGCCTCAAGCTGTGGCTGAGAGACATCACACAGATGCTCCCTTGACATTCCTGTTAGAATATCAGGGCAAAAAGTGAAAACATCATTAATGAAACAAATAATCCTGAGAAGCAGACCATGGTCAGGCCATAGAACTCAGAACACTTTGCAGCATCACGGCCCCAACCATATTTAATCCTTTTATACCCATGATCCATAAATGCTTGCTGTAGACAAGTGACAGACCATGCCCGTGTTATAGGAGGTGGGACATGTGGTGCTGCCAGTTGTAGTTAGCTCTGCAGGAGGGTTTGGGTTTTTTTGTGTTGGATCTATTTTTTTTTTAGTTGAAAAGATGCTTTTTTTAATGCAGCCATTCCTCAAACCTGTAATAAGCCAGGAAGAAACTAGTGCTGAGGTGGCCTTAAAAGGCTGTAACACTGAAATCCAAAATACCACATAATATCCTTTCATTTCTGTGCATTATGAGTCAACAAATGGGAAGGAATAACTTCTTCAGTGTTCTGCAAGACTTCTATCTGCTGCTTTTCTCCACTCTTTCTGCTCTTATACAAATTAACTAAGTGGAGTACCTAGATTGTCACTGAGCTGATGTCATTGTGAAGGGTATCCTGCAATTATGCATTTCTCAGCAACAGCTTACAAATTGGCTGTGACTTACAGAAAGCCAGAGAGGTTCATAACTGAAGCCAAAAAGATTATGCAATGTGATACAGATTTTCCATTCCTTGGAAAGAACACAGCACACACTGAAGAAAGTCACACGGCTTCCCTCTATTAAAAGGAAGTATTCCTGTCTGCATTTGCAAATACACTCCATGAAAATAAAAAGTATTATCCTAATTTTCTCTACTGCTTTGATCATTTTTGCTGCAATTCCCACTTAATCTTTTACTCATGGGTCTGTTTTATTATTAAAAACTTGAGATTAAAAAAGACACCAAAATGAATAACTGAGGAAAAAAATACTCTTTTCCCAAGTGCTGAGCCATGTAAAAAGTATTTCACCCCTCCCCCCATTTAAAAATGTTTCAGTAGGCTAATAACTTTCTTCTTTTGCTGCCACTAAGACATCACTGCAGTCACAGACAGCCCAGTGTAACAGATATTACTACAGTATTAACAGTATAGTCAAGTTCACCAATTTAACCCAGATTTTGAGTAGTATCAACAACAGCAAGAACTGGTTAATACCCATAATTCATTACAGATACAGATCTCTCACTCAGGTGCTGGAGCTCTGAGAGGCAGTGCTCATAGGTTCAGGCTACTGTTTTAGCCTTTTTCCTTAAAGAAAAGAGTCTTACATGTCATTGTTATCTCTGCCTTTCATCCCATTCCACAACTCTTTGACTAGTTCCGACCACACAAAACTCTGAAGGGAAAATTACATCTCTGCAAGTTTTGTGAATATAAGAAACCATTGAGAGAGAAAGAGCAGGCCTGTGAGCATCCTGATGGAAGGAATGGCACACCCTGCAGCATGCCATGCATGTTATTAGACATCAAAGAAACCTCATAAGGGGGCCAAGAGACAAATGTCTCAGTATCTGGAAAAAAAATTCATTGCAAGGTTACAACCAACCACGAGACATGAATCTGCAAGACGGCAGGTTTTGCCAGTTCTAGTGCTCTCAGAACTACTAATTTCATTGAGAGAGGACAACTCATAAAACAACCAAGACAATTACACAGCATGGCTGCACAATCACGGTATATTTCAAACTGTCAAATGTGGTTTTGCATTGAAGAAAAAGGGTGAGTAGCTCTTCAAACCAAGAAACACACCTTGAAGAATGGTGAAACATTCTATAATGTAACAAATTTTTATGGAGTTGGGCAAAGTAGCTGCCAGAGGGAGAATTTCCTAATGGAGCTAAATCAGAGCCACTTTTATTTATATTTACAAGTCAATACTTAGTAGCTTCACTGAGCTTTGTCTGATTAGGCACTGTTTGGAGAGAATCCGTAATTGATGGTGGCTCATGATACATGGTAGAAACATTCTCCTGCTCCAGCAAATACATCCATATGCCTATTTATGTGTCTGTTGCTACTCAGCAAAAAAAACTTGGTATGATTCACCATTATGTTCACTGCTCCCTTCAGTACTTCTTGGAACTGGAAACCTTGTATTCACCTATTACAAAGCTTTATGTATTCAACTGTAAAAGTGCACTTTGAGCAAGTCTATTCTACAGATTTTTTTCAGAAAAATCTTATCTCCTTGCTTGCACATGCTTATCAAGAGACACTGAAACCACAGCCTCCTCCTTACCCTTACACACACTGAGAGGTGAATTTAGATTCCCCAAACCACAGGCAGTTTGTGGGCTCCTGAAAAACAATTTCATGCAGCAAAGGGTCTGACCTCACTCAGACACATTGTTAAAGACCCAAGCACAGACCACAGGACCATAAAAGCAACCCAGTGGAGCAGGCAGAACACTCAACTGTGTAAGACTTATGGCCAAGTGCCAGGAGCTCCTCTACTGGGCTCCCAGCACAGCCTCTGGGTGGCCTTGGGCCCTACAAACTACTACCCAGCACAGCACTTCCTACTCGGAGCTGCCCTACTGACTCTGGCAGCATCACTCAAAGCCACAAGCACAAGGATTAGAGCCCAATTAACTGACACTTCATCTTTGTGCCAAGGAAGGAAAAAGAATAACTTACCTCTGCTCAGCTGTTATTTGGAGCTTTAGACTGTTGGCCTCCAGTACAAGCTTAAGGCACTGTTGAAGCCCTGTAACATGTATTTTCCTTCCCAAAAACAAAGGGAAATATGAAGCCAGGGATCTCATCCTTACCATTCAGGATGACTTGGAAGAAGCCAACAAACCATGCAAAAGCTGGAAATGTTACTAAAGTTCAACCCTACATAACGCAGTCAAAAAAAAGCCAGAGTCTCACATCAGTACATCTTCCCTCTACAACTCCCATTTAATCTGAAATTATCTATTACTTTACCCTTTCACCACTACACCAGCTGCTGAGAAAGTCACTTGTTTTCATTTGCTTGCTAAGGGTCCACTAATGGAGACTGATGATCTGGAATGTTATCTAGTTCTGTCCCCTGCTGAGCCCCTTGCTGCTAGAAGGATGGAGAACATCAGCCTTCAGCAATATACTAGAGAAGAAGGAGGAATAAGAATTATTTTTGAAGTTCTGAAGTTACTAATTGACAGATGCCAAACATAAAATAAAGCTATCTATAAATTTAGAAATTAACAACCGGTAGTGAAAAGCTGGATTACAGGGTTTCTCATGAACTTGACACATCATTTTGGAAGGTTTATCACTGTATTGAAGTAAATGAACACATATTAACACATAAGATATACAAATACATGGCAGTGTTTCCAAAAGCATGGCCTCTAGGGCTCATTTCCTATGGAAATCTGTGGGAGTTCTGCAATGCTCTTACTGAAAAGCTTTGGTCAACAATGAGTAATTTTGGAAAGCTCTATCATCCATTAGGGGATAGTTTGCATTCTTCACCCACCTGGGAATAAAATCAAATGACAGGCTCCTGCAATATAGCTCTCCAAGGGCCCCTCTCAGCAGCTGCTGATCCACATCAGTCCAAATCACTGCATTTTTTACACATCAGCCTAACAGCAAGCCAGTGTGTTAACAGTGGATCCAAGTGAGACCCACTGCATGTGTCACTGAGATACACAGAAAGCTAATGTACAAAAACAAATCACAGGAGAGCAAAATTTACAAAATGTCCTAAAATGTGCATTTTATTCCATATCATTATACAATGTTTACATACAGGTATACTTTTAAAACTGCTCAAAGAAAGTGTGAAAAAAAAGTGAGGCGAATATCGGTTTATAAATTCCTCCCCCTCCCCCAAATCCACACAAATAAAATAGGTTTTAAACAATCTCTTCCAAATTTGTGTTTTCTCCTGAATTTATTGAATCTTTCATTTCAACATGAAAAATACAATTGAATGAATACTCAAGGTGAAATGCTGACCTACACTTCTGTATTGAGTTGCAAAAACACAATTTAAAACCTCCAGAAGCCTTCACTTCTCTCTGTTGCTTGAATACCTTCGTTTTATTGAATTAGAAGGCACAGGAAGTCCAAATCCTCACAGATAAGTGTAATTCTGATAAAAATAAATTACTGTGGCGGACAACTCCTGACTTGTCTGGTATCAAACAACAGACTTCAGCAGAGCCTTTTGTTCAAAATAGCACCATTTCCACCTGATCTCTCTTGAACACAAATCATTCTTCTTGTTAAAAACTGTAGTTGGCACTTGAGGTGGGACACTTTCTGCCACAGCCAGGATTCTTCAGAAGACTAAGCATACTGAATTGCTGAACTCTCTACAAAGTGTAGGTAACATTTTTTGTTGGGAAATGGCACATTTAAACCATAATGTAATGTAGCTTAACCCGCATATGGCTTGCCCATTTTGGTGTTTCCCTGACCCCTGCCTGGTAATTTAGCAGATGTTCTTGTGACTGTAGTGAAACTAAAAAAAAAAAAAAAAAGACGTATTTATGGGGTTTCACGGCAAGCAGGTGTAAAAATAATGAAACAAATAATGTGGTTGCTGCTAAGAAGGTTTTCACATGTTGTTTAACTCCAGTAAAGTTTGATCCAGCATCTGATGCATACTAAGGTTTTCTTCTTTGGCATGCGCCACTTTCTCTGTGGTGGGATTAGAAAATTAAAACATGAATAGCAGTTCTTTGGAGGCACTGATTCTCAGCACATGAAGGCATGCAATCATCATTTCTATTGCAGCAGGATTTAGGAAGTTAGGAAATGTGCATGCTCATAAAAACCAATATCCCCAGACAACACAACTAGAGCAATTTCACATTCATAAAGCAAATAGCAAGTAATGCAAGTTCAAAACTGTTTACAGCTGCATTTGTTAAGAAAATGCACTGCCAACAGAGATGCAATTCTTGCATGTTCTGGAAGCTTTCTGCTTATAGGAATGTGGAGTGATGGATGAGGTTTTTTTCTTTTTTAAATAAAACAATAAATAAAACAATTAAGTTCTTTGCAGATCCATACTTTGAAGTTTCATTTCACTCAGAACTTGCAAAGAACAAAAAAATTAAATCTGATTTCTTCAGTGAAGTGACCATTAAGAAATATACGTCTTCTAGAAAACAAATGAAATCAAAGTTAGTAGCTTTATGTTGCATGCACACTTCTATAGGAGAGTCATTCAAAACATTTATTTCATACAATAAATGAGCACAATGTTCTAGAGCTGCAGCCTACCAGAATCCAGTAACAGTAACTTCATACTAATGCAACCATACCTTTAAACTGACCGTGATTTTTCAGATGGTGCTCCCATTCCTAGTGTGTTTGTTTGGTTTTTGTTTCTTTTTTTGTGTGTTTTGTTGTTTGTTTGTTTTTTTAAAATACAAGCCCAATTCATAGTAATGCAAAATTATTGCACTAAAGTCTCCAGATAACAGAACAGCTGTAAGTATCCTTTATGGTGGTTCTAAAAGAAGGAAATATGAACCCTGGTGAACATTTTTCTTCTGTCCACATTCTGGTCAAAATCTCAGGGCCAATTCCTGGTGGTTGGTAAACTGAGTGTCTCTCAGGCTGTTACTTTTGGATACTGCTAGATAAATGCTCTAGCTGTTTACTGAAGTGGAAAGGAGCTATTGCACAGCCAAAGAGCTTGTTGCTCCTCCAAAGTAGGCGTGCATACATGACAATGAAAAGCCTCATCCAGAAGAAGCATTTTCATATTTTTCCAAGAGAAAGTGAGAATTTCATTCATTAATTTACCACAGAATCAACAGCCTGAAAAAAATAGATTTCAGGGTTTCTTGCTTATTTCTGTATTTACTGATTCATTCTTAAGGAAATTTAGAAGAAGCAGTTTTTAAACAAGTTAACAATATAGCCACACTAAAGTTTAATCCTCATTCAATGCCAGCTTTAGTTCATTAGTTAGGCGACTGTTTTGCTCAAGTTGCTGGTAGAGTTGGTCTGTACAGGCAGCAAGCAGGTTAGAAGGGAAAAAAGAGGCAGAATGAAGACAGATTAGACAGAGAAAACAGTTAAATAAGAGTTAATAAAGAAACTGGTCACACCACAGACAGTTCAGTAACAAACAGAAATATTTTACCTTTGTTTCTAGAACTCTAGTAATTAAATAGCTAATCCAAGGAACATATATTATAACCTAGGAGGAACTGGCTAAGACTTCTTCTGCAGGGAAGAGCTGTCAGACAGGTAAATTGGAATAGAAATGGAACAACTGCAGCTATATTCCTGAAAAAAACAACTCCTGCTTTAGTCTTTATGTAGAGTGTGTGGAAGATTTATTTTACGAGTCCTGTTTTTCTTTGTAAGCTATTTAAGCTGCAGTGGAATTAATCTGTCAGTGGAGGGAAAGCAACTGTGTCACAACCAGGGTAAGGAGATGCCAGTAGCCAACTACTGTGAGGTCTGATTCAACTACTCCTTTCCTGGGGAATCTGACAGCTGAAATAGTATTTTTAGTAGGGAAACATATTTCTGTTACTGGTATCAACACACTTCGACAGCTTTAAGTTGCCCAGTTGTTTCTTTTCATATGAAAACAAACCCAAACAGTCAGTGAAAATGAAATGAAAGCACGAAAAGTATGGTTCATGGTTAAAGAGAACAGCCTCAGCTACACTGTGACAGGGAGAGTTGTTCCGCAGAGTGAAAGAATGTTCCATCATGATTTTTGACTGTATGGTTTTTTCAAATTGTCCATATTCTTCTCAATAGCCTAGATTCAAACTGCACACTCCTGACCTCTTGATCCCAGATTATTCCCTTACAGGAAATGACTTTCTGATTCTTTTCCATAAGCTTCCTAACAGCTTCCACAAAAACCCTCTTTTCCCTGCAGGCTCTGGAGACAGCAATGGCAAGGCTGTCAAGAGAGCTGGCCTGTAGGACATACTTGTGCAGTGAGTAGCACCTTCTCACAGCTTCCTCCCCAGCCTAAACTCCAACAAGCAGCTCAGTAAAATCAGGGCACATTTCAGAGGTCTGATCCTGGACTGCTAACACCTGGGTCTTGTCTCTCTTATCAGGATAATGTCACATCTACACGAAAAAAAAAACATCAAAACCTCAGAGTACCTAAACCTGCACTTTGTTTGGCAGAATATATTTAGTTGTTATTCAAACATGACAACATAATTTGAACAAAGAACTTGATCATCACAGAAAATCATAGAAATATGCTTTTTTTAATTAAGCCAGAGTTTTACAGTACTTCTCAACATCTAAAATTCCCAGGTAAAGCATGGCAAGCATTTACCAAGTCTATACAGTCAGCCCTTGACTATCCCCAGGTAGAGCCTTGACAGAGCTGAGGGCTGCCTCAGCAGGCAGCCACCCTAGGCCAAACACGAGTCCCAGCTCTGCTGCAGCCCCAGGGAGACAGCCTCAGCACAGCAAAGAGTCCAGATAACTGAGACATCAGAGCCAGCCTTGCACTCCTGCCAACAAGCTGCAGGTACATGACCTACACACACCTGGTCAGACCCTAAAGAGTGCTGAAACATGCTGCAGTGAGAAACCACACCATCTGCATGGAGATCAAGGCCAGCTAGGAATTCTGTATGCAGCTACCGGGGTACCTGCATTGCACTGCCCTTTTCCAGTACTTTGTCCAGCAATTCATCACCCTGCAGTGCAGAGAGCTGACTATATGTGTTTGAAGAGGGAAGATACAAACACAGATGTGCAAATCTACTGTGGTAAAAGTTACCAGGTACCTGCATTGGATTTTGTTTTTTTCAATTCTCTTAAAAAACAACAGTACTGCAAGGAATTGAGGGGGAAAAACAATACTGCTGACACAATAAACCAAAATACACAACAGATGAAGGGGTTGGAGTTGTAGTGTAAATTACTCTGGCTCAGCTGCCAAGTGACAGCCAACCCCACTCCCCAGAACTCTCGTGTTTGTGATGTGAACCACTTCAGCTTCAGTCGTTTCACAAATGGTCACCCGTTATATTGCATTAACCTCACATTCAACATTTCACTTTTCAGTTGCAATACCTACTTACTGTATCTTGATTGATGAGTAGTAAGTTATTAAACTTCATTACCTGAACTATCTGTGACTGCTGGTACATGTCCCGTGCTTGGGCTTCCCCCCATAGTCAGTAACATAAGGACATGTGTCTTGGGATGAAAGGCTGTGATGAAATAGTTACCTAAAGATGGCCGGGATGAAGAAGATGCAGGCACCTGCAAGCCTTATTTGGCCATCAGGTTTTGGGGAGGAAATTTAGCCTAGTCTGCACTGTTGAACAAGAAATTCACATTTACATTATTCTACAAGCTAAAAAACTAAAACTCAGCTACACGATGGTGAGTTTATTTAGCTGTTTAGGAATTTTAGCAATATATGCAGTGAGAGGCATAATCAGAAACCAGTCTAGCTTTAACTGATTCACTTTAACGTGAACTGAACTCTGCATGTTCCACTTTGCAGCAGAATCATTTCATTATTATGGTGAGAATTTTCCTACACTCCAGTTCTGAAACTCTTCTAAGTTTCAGAAGTGTAAGTGGAAAGCTACTGCAACCTCTCTGCTGAACTTCCAATGCTATCATGCCACTCAAGAGAAGTATATTGTAAAAACCCAAACCAAGTCTGAACTTAGCAAGCAACCAAGGTGTGAAAGAGGAGAAAATGTTTTTGCAAGACATTTAAAGGACTATTTTTGGGTGAAAAAAATAAATTAAGGTTTCTTTATATTGCCCCATTAAATCTGTCTCAAATTGTTAACACATTCATATAAAGACAGAAAGTCTTCAGCATCAAGCTAGGGTATAAAATTTCAAACTTTAAAGTGAAAAATGCATGTCAAGGACTTAACTGCTGTCTCAGCCACACTCCCATGACCCCAAGGAATTGTGTCTTTGCAGATTTTAGTCTAACAGTAACAAATTAAAACATCTGTCATTGTATCTGCATCAGATTTTGAGAAAATCTAAGACCATAAACTGGTCAGTTCTGATCTCAAAATATCAAGAGTAGAATTCTCATCCCGTAAACTGATGTCACTGGCTTCGCATTGTCAAAATTCAAGCAAAAGTGTTTGCAGGAAAAAATGGAAACAAAAAAAATATAAATCCCTAACAGAAAAAAAGCCATTTTTATTAATAACTTATATAGGTATTTAAATAAATAAAAGGCAAGGGAATAGCAAAAGGGATACAGCTGGGATGTTTATTTTACATTGAGAGATGTAGAGTTTCTGTACAGCAGAGCACAAAGAGAGCATGTTCTGAGACAGGTGCTAGAAGAATAGAGTCAACTAAGCTAGAGGACAGGACAATGAGCCCATGAAACACATCCAAAGCTTGGAAAGATGTTTTATCCAACCTGACGAAGATGTCTTTGGAGAAGTGAAGCAAAGAAAATTATCTGCATGAAAAGAAAAAGTGAGATAAGGTAGAAAATAAAAAAGGTGCAGTAAAGTCTTCCAAAAAAAGCAGCAACAGCACAGCAGAGCCCAGCATGCCAAGACGACTACTAGAGAAACACCACACCATGCTGGGATTGGAACACCATAGTAATGTCCTCATGTGCCAGCAGAACACATTTTAAAGTCTGTTTTCCATTTAGAAATACCCAAAATAGAAGAAATGCTGAGAAGGAGGAGAAAAAGAAATCCATTTACTTGATAAGCCATTGAGCAAAAGCGTATGCTAGGGGGCTAGGGGAAATAAAAAAAAGAAACACAGAGAAACCCCAAAGCATACAAAGCAGACTTTAGACACCTACTTAAAAGGTGGGATAGAGAGAGGGAAGTAATGAACAGATATAGGGATAAAAACAAAAAAACAAAGAAAAAAACATTTCAAATACGGGTGCACCAAAATACATTTCAAGGTCTGAGCAAAGCTTACTCCTTGCTGAAAGCATGCTAGCTTCCAAAAAGAAATGCTGGACTGCACATCACAGCTCACAAGCACTTGGACAGTCACAGCTCTTCCTCTTTCCCATGTCAACTGTGCAGGGTTCATGCAAGTGAGAGGTGTGAGCATGGGAAGATGGATTTAGCATAGCCAACCTCTGTTCAGAGTCCTAGCTTGATGGAAGAAGAGTCAGTTTGCATCAAACACTGCACGGACCAGTCACTCCTTGTAATTGGTCACTCTTCTGCTTTCATGCTGCTTAACATACTCCTCACAACTGAAGTGAGTATCACCCCAGTCTTGGTACACACAAATTAAATTACTACTACCCTCCACAAAATATGCAGAAGCAACCTAGAATTCAGACGTAATTTTTTTATGGGTTTAAATAACAAAGTATTTTATATCAATTTCCACACCTGTAGTTTAGTGATCACAGCTAAAATTTTCAGAGTAGTCAAGGAAATCCAGATAAAAGACTTTCCATGCCATCAACAGAGAAACAGCTAAATCTAAATTTCTCTGAAACTTTTGTTAAGAAGTTTGCCAGAGAAAAACCGTGCCAGGAGAAAAATGTTCTGATGGCAAATGTACTGAGGCAACTTTCTTTGGTAAATTAAGCATAATGGGCCTGGTAGTCAGTGCTTGAACAGAGGTAAACTGAAAGTATAAACACAGAGCCACAAAGGCCAACCACAAGACACAGGGATTGCAGATAGGGATTGAAAAAGTGAACACGAGCTTATTAGGCAGCTTACAAAATCACCATGAGTATTTACCAGGCTAGGCAAAACACTCACCCACACTCTGCCACGGTAAAGAAATTGTTCATGGTATTTTGTACACCTAGTCTGGCTAAAGAAACATGTCTCCCACCACACAGGGAGTGTAATTTCACAAGGCTGGAATTGCACAATGAGGGCAGGGAAGCAGGCGCAGGCACAAGCTGGGAAGACATTTACATGGAAGTCATATCGTTGAGAGCGTGGTCCAGCTCCTCACTGATGGCTTTGTACTTCAGTTTCTGAGCATATAGCTCATCTAATATTCCCCCAGGGGAAGGCAGAGGTGTGCAAGGAAATGGAGTAGGATCACGGGATGGAAGGTGAAGGTGGTGGCATGGGATACCATCCAGAAGCCGTGCAGAAAGGGAAGAGCGCACAGAAAAGAAATGTTGCAACAGACAAAAACACAAAACCAAATTAGCAAAGAAGAATTAAAAAAACCCAACAGTAAATAGTTTGATGTGACAAGTTCATTAACTACACTGCCAGTTGGGCAAAGTGTGATATAGAGAAGATGAACGGAAAAAAGCATGCAAGGGAAGCAAGATCCATGTCTGGATGTCCTCAATTTTTGTTTTAGTGCACATTAGGAGGACATACAGGAGCTAGGGAGCACAGATCAAAAAATGGGGCTCAAGGAGGATGCTACGATTTATTTCCTACCACTTTTGTTTTTTAAACCACTCCGATTTGTGTGATGTCATAAACTCAGTTTCTTACAGAGATTTTTGCTCCTTCTAAATACTTATCTTACTTCTCTGCTTCCTTCCTAAGTCAGTGATCATAAATTTTCAGCAGCTACCTACATACTTCATACTGTTTATGCAATCAAGGTTCTCAAAATCCTAGACTTAGTGTAATGCATCTAAATAGTAAATTCCATATAACTTTTAATTACAAAATACTACTGAATTATTTTCACTGGAGGGAGAAAAAGCATATTCTGCTATTCCACTGCAGTTCTGAAAGACTTACCAAAACCTTAAAACCAACTCTCTGAGGTTAAAGAAGCTGTCCTCCTGATTATGTACACAACCCATTTGCTTTACTGAAAAACAGCAACTGGTGTATGTCACAAAATGCCAGCCCTGACCCACACTTTATCCAAGTAATAAATTAGGTTAACTTGCTACATTCCTAACTAATAAAAAAATAACACAGCTCTTCGTCAGCTTTTCAGTAAGACAATGATGAAAATATTAATGATCTAATAACTTACCCTATACATTTATATTCCTACAAGTAGAAAAGTATAAAGCAAAAAAATGAAAGGAGCCTTCAGAACATGACAGAAAAAGGAACAGGCAGGAGCAAAACACTGCTCATCTGAAGCACTGACATCATCAATTCATGTCAACTGGACACCTTTTGTGTATTTTACTCTTTAGGCAGAATTATTTCTATAAGTATGACAAGTCAGGTGAGCAGAAGTGGGTACTGGAAAAAAAACAACAATAGGAGAATAAAAGATCTGTACTTCTATAGTAAGTGAGAAAAACAAAACCCATACCTTCTAGGTCATCAATGCTCTTCTCCAGCTTGGTTACTGACCTCTCAGCAAATTCAGCACGGGTCTCAGCCTGCAATCAAGACATAAAAGGACTACTTTAGGAAACACACGTGTAGTATTTATGAATCAAGAAGCACCAACTTAAAGGTGGATAAAAGTACAATGAGAGAAGACAAAGTAATACTAATTTTTAGGGGAGACATTTCAAGTCTCCAAAATGACGTGGTCATTTTTAGAGCATCAAAGTAGTGTTTATATTAAGACTCCAAGTTGCATTGGAAGATCTGTTGTAAACAGCAGCTCTAATTTTACCTCCTTCAGTTTGTCAGTCAGGACTTTAATCTCCTCTTCATATTTATCTTCTTTCTGCGAGTACTGTAATTTGAAAGAGAATCACTGATATTAGACCAGGTGTTCTAAATATACAAAAAAACCCCCATATTTGAGACTCTCTTCTAATGGACCATCCATAAACAAGAAATTATTATGGATATAAATACATTAATTCCACTTACCAGACTGTGGTAATACACAGCTTATTACAAGGATCAAAATTCCCATAAGTTACATGCCAGTGCTACATGATAGGAACTTCTGAATTGAAATTAGCACTACAATTTTAAGAGTAGTGGCATCTGGAGAAATTTAAACTTGGCACACAAGTGTCATTTTGAGGGACATTCTATAAATAATGTTTAATCCTGTCAGACTACTTAACAGAACATGTGGTCAAATAAAACTAACCTATCTGGAACTAGAAGGAAGGCAAGGTTCTGATTAGAGCCAAATATGAATTGAGTAGTAAGTCCAAATGCTCATACTGACAATGTCTTTGCTGGAATATTGAATATTGATCAGCTTACAAAAAAACCCCATGGGCCAATCCAGATGACAATGGAAGGGACACGTTCTCACATAAGTCTCTAGCCTACCTTCTCAGCCTGAGCCTCCAGCGACTTCAGGTTGTTGGTCACAGTTTTCAACTCCTCTTCAAGCTCAGCACATTTGCTGTTATTTCGGAAGGAAGGCAGGAAAGGGGCGGATGGAAGATTCAGTCAAGCAAAAGAAACAGGAGAAAATAGGGGGAAAAGACAGAGAAAAATGAAAACAATTACAGAGCAAAAGAATGCCTCAAAAGCAGCTGAATCTGTCACAGACTCACAGATTAAAACCAACTCTTTATGATGTCAAATTCCTTGTCAAGTGTACATTAAGATGATGACTAGACAGAAATTATCTACAGCCTTTGGCTTGCTATTTACACGAGACAGTTCAGCTTCTTTTTGGCTGCACAAGAGATCAGTTTTAAAGGTAAAAATGAATAAATAAACAAAAAAAGAGACCAAAGAAAACCACCAAAGCAAGATGCAAAAAGAGTAAAGAGCATAGTGAGCACCTATTTGTTACTACTGAGTGAGCTAACCAGCTATGGAAGCTGAAAGGCTTGGGTTGCAGTTAAACCTAAAAACTCTTTATTAGTATCAGTACCTTATCCTCTGCAGCCATTAATGCTTTCAAGGTTTGATCCATTATTCTTAACTGTTCTTCCAGCTGTCGGACTTGGCTGTTAGTGAACACATGAAATGCACAAAAGCCATTCACAAAATCAGTGTGCAGGTACAGCATGCAGTGACAAAACACACGCGCACACACACATATGAACATTTACTTTGGCGTTGACTATTTATTTCAACCAGTAGAGTAAATGAGCCAAACATAGCTTTGAGCTGAACACACAGTGTACTGCCAATGTTTCATGCTGTTACAGTTGTCTTGTAGCATCTCACACACCTCTCGGGGCAGTTCAACACTTACCTTTCTGATAGTTCAGCACGTTCCTCAGCCCTCTCCAGGTCACTCTCTATGATCACAAGCTTACGAGCCACCTACAGGAAAAGACAAATGACAATCAGGGATTTTAAGCTGCTGCAGCATGTCACTTGTTCCTGAAACCTAAAGCAGGAATATGGGCCTCTTCCCATCTTTTGGCCAATGTGTTATTTCGATTATGTGACATGTTCATTATTTTAGCCTTTGTTATCTGACATTTTTCAAGACCTCTCCTTTCATCCACCAAAAGGCAACTTGAAAGTATTTTTCTACCCAGAAGGCCAAATAATACTTTCAGTCCTTCTAGTGCAAAGATCTGAGCACAGATCTCCTGCCACTTTGCACCTTGTCCCCTGAGGTATCTGGGTGCCTATTTTTCCTTCACAGCTGCAAAGAGTGCCATTTGTGATCTTCTGAACTTAAAAGACAAAGAGAAAAAAAGAAAAATAGAGGAAAAAAAAAGTAATTACAGGCAGAGGTTAAAGGGCTTTAGCAACAGAAAACCTGTACTCAAGAACTGACCTCTTCATACTTGCGGTCAGCCTCTTCAGCAATGTGCTTAGCTTCTTTAAGCTGGATCTCTTGGATTTCCATCTTCTCTTCATCCTTCTGGGCTCTATTTTCAATGACCTTCATTCCTCTGAAAGACATGAAAAACAGGAAATGTGAGGTTCAGGGCTTGCCACTTTATCTCCAGCTCTACTACTACTGGAGCGCAACTTTCAGACAAGTGTATCAAGGTGAATGAAGCACATGAAGATAATTGATTTCTCACACCATAGATCCAGTCCTGAGCATTCACACTTCAGAAGTTTAAAGGAAAGAAGCATGTCACAGGAAGAAAGAAAATTTATTTTGTTTAGCTCTTATCATAGTTCAGCTGTACTATTCTTTTTTTGTAGGAAAACTAGTCTTATAGAAAGACAAAGAAAGGGTCTTGCTTCTGAAGACCCAGTAAGATGACTGAAGACATCTGTGCTTTTACATTTGCCATGAAACACCATGTTACAGACCCTGCAGGACTGACAGGCATTATGTTTATGGGCTACACAGATTCCCATGAGTTTTGCCATGTCAGAGCCCTAGAGACTGAAGCTTGCTGTGCTCTGCATAAACAAAATTTAACTCCTTCACAACAGGAAACACTGACCTAAATTCTCTTAAGCCTTTCACATTACACCGTGAGTCTTGGGTGTTTGTTTTTTCAACAAGCTGCATCATTACTGTCCTATTCTGCATGTGAAATTTTCTGTCCACAATGAAATCAAGAATCACCTGACAGCACAACAGTACACATCATCTTCAAAAAGTTGTCATCCACATAGAGAAGCCTGGGCTGGGCCAAGCAGTTTTCTCAGGATGTGGGATGATACATCAAAAGCCCTACCCCACTTACATCTTATCTTTACAACCGAGACACAAAAAAAGAATTCAAACCTACATGTTCTGGACATCCCTACAGACAAGCTGTAACTGAGGTCCATGTAGGCAAAGGAAGAGTGGATTACACATTTTCAGAGACATAGGAGTGGTTTAATTTATTTCCCTAACCCACACCCTGGCAATTATAATCTTTGTCATAGGGGTAATGATCCACTGGAGAGTGGCCCCACCCACCTCTCACTCTCATCTGCAGCCTTCTCGGCCTCCTCCAGCTTCTGCAGGGCAGTAGCCAAGCGCTCCTGAGCCCGATCCAACTCTTCCTCAACCAGCTGGATGCGTCTGTTCAGAGAAGCTACTTCGCTCTCAGCCTAAGCAGAGGAAAAATAGAAATTAATTCACAAGGCACACATGACCTCTTCCAAAAGATGAGAACACATACCTGCTACTGCCATTTAACAGCACCTCAGTAATTTCTGGCTTCATCCACTAAAACACCCATACACAGAGATGTACCTGGCTCATTGAATTGTGAAGTTATTTCTTAACAGAGGAAAAAGTGATTAATGCTTCCGTTAAATGAAGCACATTAAGGACTGTACAATCTGTACAGAAAGAATGGCAATGGCAGAATTATGCATCGTACTCCAAATATTTTGTTATTGTATTAGCCAACATTAACCGATTACACTATCCCCTCTTTTTTTAAAATGAAACCAATTACCCCATTCTTCCATGTTATCCCAAATCCTTTATTTATGACCTTTTGCCATATTTTTATAAGAACCGCTCCAGCATTTTCTTGAGTTCCATAAGAAGGACTCAGTGTAAACAAGTAAAAATACATTTAGGCCAGCATTTACAACGAAGACAGCTGATACAGAGAGAGCATGAGAACATTCAAGAAATGCCTGAATACCCACAAGTTTTGCTTACAGGCAAGCTATGCAAGAGATGACAAGGAAGGCACCAGCAGAGCCTCCATCTCACAAGGGCCCTACTACAGCAACAATTGCCTAAATCATCTTGGGTTTTTTCCCCCCCATACTGCCACCTCCAAGCTTGCCCCAGATTTCCCTCTCTTGCACTACCTGTTTCTTTAATCTGTGTAACACTTGCAACTCCTCTGCCTCTTATCATTACAAGCTTTTACTTCTGATGTTCACAAACCTACACTTAAGTTGCAATATAAGTTCTGTAACAGCCTCCTCGTAGTAATCTCATCATTCAAGTCGATGTCTTTCAAAAGGGTGTTAAATGCAAAATATATAAATGTTATTCTACAAAGCTAATTACTCCAAAAAAACCCAAACAGTACTGAATTAGTACTTAGTACCGAAAATGATCTTGTCAGATATGGGGAAGTAAACATCTGAATTTCCCATGATGTCTAGTTGGAGCAGGGGAGAACCAACCCTCTATTAAAAGTAGATACCAAAAGTATGGGTTTGGGACTTTAATTAAAAGATTAAGGAACTTATTGGTTGCTTGTACTGACCAGAGGCAGCTGGATACTGCTGGCTACAGCTGAAAGTGTGTTGTACATAACACAAGTGAGCATAACTTACACACCAGACAACAAAGCAACCTTTGGCATAACAGTAACATTGCCCCACTAGAACGATTGGAACTAACACCTAAACAGGAAAGCAAATATATACCTGAACATTAATGCTCGCAGTGAGCATGTGGAACCAAGAGCAGACGAGGCTTCGTTCTTACAGATCCACATTAAGACCAATATAAAATCTTGAGCTGTGTAATCAAGCAGTAGTACTTCAAACCTATATTTTCAGACTTCTGGCTTTAAACAGTAAGAATCTGAACATTCTTATTTGATAAAGAAAATAACCTTTCAGAAAAGTTACCTTTGGGAAATTTCTAACACTACGAGTTAATTATTATCATGTCAAGACTCCTCATAATGATAAGAGTATACAATATGCTTAGAAAACACAGGGTGGTTAAAGTTCAGTCTTTACTTCCTGCTCCAGTAACTCAATAAGGATTGACCAACCAGCCTTATATGGCCCAAGTTATTCTTTTGCAGAGCAGGACTTCTCTCCTTATATGGTAAGGAAGGAAAAAACCCCAATGACATTAAGGGGCACTCCCACAGCTAACAGACTAATGTAAACTTCTGCGTTTTTGCCACAGCACTTATACACCACATATTTTTACAGTGAGCAATGACATGGATAATTCACCACCGGGTGTTAATTATTACTGTTGTAAGGGAGATTTTGTTTGCCAGAAAGAAGAAAAACGCATTCTGAAAATGTGATTGCCAACAGACCCTTGAGATGGATGCACTCAAACCAGAAGAGATTGTTTTTGAAGCAATGACTGCTATTCACAGCCTTGAAACTTGTGACAATTTGGTTTAACAAACTAAAGCTGTAAGCTGTGATACGTTTTGACCACAGCTTTAGCTTTTTCACTATCTGTACCTTGCACAGGAACTAAAAAAAACCACCCCAAACAACCCTAGCTGGTCACATGTTACACATGTAAGGCATTACACTAAGGGAAGGGTCAGATTCACACCTCAGCATGCTTGCTGCAACGTTCTCGAGGTCTCCCTCCTCAAGCACGCAGAAATACATCTGTGACCATAAGAAAACCTACACACAACTAGCACTACAGCAGAGGCACAGCCCTACTTGTGCCTGTGACCTCAGGTTTCTGCCTTTATTCACCCCAGCACTGACCCCTCCATACAAAACTTTAAATACCATGCAAACGTCCTGCAGAATTCCACATCATAAATCAACTCCAAGGAAGAGACAAACATTAACCTTTAGGATCATAAGCCTTATAGCAACGTGGCTGAGCTCCAATAGGAAGACTTCACCAGCAAACTGTACTCGCTCCTCCAGTGTGAATCGATCTGCCACAAAAGGTAACAGCAAAGATTCTCATTTTAATGGGAAATCCTTAATGCTGTTTAGAATGTTACTGAAAGTAGGAAAATTGTGTGTCCTGTACTCCAAAAAGCTTAGAAAACAAGCACAGGTAGTTGGTTTTTTGAAAAACAGAAAGCCTTATGAAACATGTTAATGCCTGTGACATGATTCCTCACTGGAAAAAATGGATATGTGAAGTGATCTGCAAGAATGCAGGAGTTACACAAGCATAAGAAGCCATATTTTGCTCCTTGTGAAGATCACCTGCAAGTAATCAAAAGGCTCTTCCTTTTGACTTGTTACCCAGAACATGCAGAAAACTCAATTTTGTAAGGAAACCAAATCCTCAGCACTTTTTCTATTGTAATAAACTACATAAATAAGAAATCTAGTATTTTGTGTCACTTTTATGCAACCACTGAAAACACTAAAGTCGCCGCAGAGGACGCTACACACTTTATAGCAGGAAACACAAAGATACAGCTGCTACAATTCCCCAAGGTCAGTCGCAAAGCAAACAACAGCCCTATCATTTTTTTGCTGTAACTGCCACCCATAACTACACCTCTATGTTACATCAGTCTATGCCATTCACATCTATCTTCTCTCTACCTAAAACCACGCTCGGTTTTCCTTTCCCATCTCAGCTAGGAGTTGTGACAAGCTAAGCATACAGATGTATAGCAACAGGAACAATAAGATAACATTGTTGTGGCTTTTTCAGGTACTGTGGCAAGTACTCTGACGTGGCCATCTCGGGTTCAGTCCTAGGTACCGCCTTCCCAACACCGAGCTCGTTTGGATGGGATAATCAGACAACTAACACAAAAATAACCCGACAAAACATAAAAGCGTGCTTAGGACCGAACATAAAGCACCCAATACCAAACATCTCGCCTAAATTCAACCTCAATCCAGTTCAGCGTTTTGCTGTTGGCCAAACCTACTGCGGTCTAGTTCGGCCCCGCAGCTCAGCCTGCCCCGCAGCTCAGCC